CACTTCATTGGTAGCCAGGATAACGGTATTACAATTCTCCACTTGGTCCTGTTGGTAAAAGTCAGCTCGTGCCAGGTTTAACTTCCCTCCTGAACTGGAGCTTGGGGAAAAGGCTGCCAGCAAAGGAGCGGAAAGTTTTCTCTCTTATTTCCACTTTCCAACAGTAACTGTGAAGTGTGAGGCCACAGAGTCTATATCAGAGCCTGAAACTCTTCTCCCTTTTTGGGCACAGCCTGGAGTGTCGACCCAGCGATCCACCACAGTTAGAACTTTCTGTTTCATTCATTTACCTATAGGCTGATTATAAGTAATAATAATAATCCTTGCATTTGATATAATGTCTTATCATGTTGTTGAGACGTCTCAATGTGCTTCACAGAAAACATTGTAAAGTGGATTGACTGTATATTTTGTGGGTGATTATCTGACGGGCAAATGCAGCATTTTTGCAAAATTGCATGGATGATTTGACGAACAGAGAGATGGCTTTGAGGGAGGAACGGTTTCATATTAGTTGTACGTTTGGCTGCCAGTTGATTTGTGGAATGGCCGCTCACTCACTTTAGCAATAAACTGTCCTGCAACACAGGTGAAACAAAGTGGAAAAAATGATCCATTCCCTGACACTCACATTAAAGAAATACTGTAAAACTGATAGTCCATTAGATATGTAGCTTAAGTTGACCTACAATTACAATTACAGCCTGCAAGACTCCCACTAGTCCATTAATCCTTAACTGTCAATTTTATCCACAAGACACATCTTTGTGTAAACCTTGTTGAACTGAACATGTATGCCAATAGCTTAAAATCTCTGGCACCTGGCAAAGATGCACTATGGCCATTTTCATTTAAAAGGACCCAACTGGTGTAAAGACAAGAAATACTCGGATCAGAAATGTTGCTCAACTTGCTTAAAAAATACAAATACGTCTTCATGTCTCTACATCTGTAGAGATGAGAGTTTCTACCAAGGTCCTGGCCAACAATCCCCAGCTAAAATTGGTCATTCGCTTCATGTTTATGGGACACTGCTGTGTGCAAATCGGCTTTCGCTTGTGAAATGTACACTTTACTGTAAAATCCTGTGAAGCGCTTTGAGACATTCTCCTGACGTGAAAGACGCTGTATCAAATGCAAGGATTATTATGATGTACATGCATGCCTGAAAATATCCAGGATTTAAGTTGTGATGCAATCACCATTCACCCACAAAATAACAATATATTCTTTGACCGCTTTGAGACGCCTTAATGACGTGATAAGGCGTTGTATCAAATGCAAGGATTATTATTTATTTAGGAGTGATTGTTTCTTCACATCCAGCTATTTGTGTTGGTGAACCCATTTGAGAAAATAGCTACTTTTACCTTCTACTGGAGATAAAAATAGGTAATGCAGCTGAAAATGAATTTACACAAAAAACACTACATTTAAATGTAATCGAGTTTGAGGAATTCCCTATCTTAGTGATAGCTTAAAAGTACCAACAAAGTGTTAAGTACTGATATGGATGGATTTAGTTGAAGCAACTGGTGTGAGAAATGCTCAATTTCTGGCAATACAGTTTAGATATAAAGCATCTTTTACATTGAGAAGACGACCCAAAGTGCATTCACCGTGCTGGATGGGCAACTGAGCTGGCAGCATCTGACAAGACATGACAATGCCAAGTTTCTCCACAGACACCGAGACCAACCCTTTGCAAACAATGCTCTGGACTGGGCATCGAATCATAACATTATTACAGAAAAATGATTTGAAAGGTTTCTATTTGGGGAGAAAAAAATAACAAGGGAACTTGAGGACACTGTTATTCTTCTTGAAGTTGAGAAGCATTATCCTGAGCATAAGAGAGCATTGAACCAAAATAGCCATTGGAGAACCTCACTGAATAATTGAGGGGTTTTATGCAATTTTAAGTGATCCTTGTCAAATGATCCTTGCCAATATTCTTGGCAAGAAGTCTTCTAACAAATGTAATAATAATCCTTACAAATAATATAGAACCTTTGCCATTGGCAGGTCTCAAAGTGCTTCACTGGATTAGTATATAAAGTGGAGTGACTGTGAATTTTGTGAACAAACTACAGTACAAGCTTTGCATAAATTACACAGAATGCAAGACTTTTTGGCACCTTGCCAAACACAACGAGTACTTTGAGCCTAAATGTTTTTAAATCATGTTGGTTACTGTGGAACACTAGCTTTCAATAGCGAATGTTGAATTGAGCTGTCTGTAGCAGCCCTACAAAGAATCCCTTCAAAACCGATTGCAGGCTAGTTTTCGTGTTCGCTGGTTCCAGATAAATATCTTGCTTCTTGCAGTGGTTGTGCTGCTTATGATAGACAGGGCTTGTTCCTAGACCCTGTGCAGGGAGAATGTCATTTTCTTCAATAATAATAATAATAATCCTTGCATTTGATATAGCGCTTTTCACGTCGGGAGGACGTCCCAAAGCGCTTCACAGAACACACTGTAAAGTGAATTGACTGTATATTTGTGGGCGAACGCGGCAGCCAATTGCGCACAGCAATGTCCCACAAACAGTCGTGGATTGAAAAAGGATGTAGTATCCAATGGTGGAGTGGAGGGGATGAGGGACAAACAGGAGGCTGGAGCCAGCAGAGTGGAGGCAGCGGGTGGTGAAGTGGGGGATAAGCAGATCTGATAGGTAAGGAGGTGCAAGGACATGAAGGAAGGCTAGAAGTTTGCTCATACCTTGGAATATATTTTAGTGGCTGCATGACAATGTTGTTAAAATCCAGGGTATAGCATATGATTGATTAAATGTGGAATGTGAATTCTTGACTGACAAAAGAATTCCTTCAAGCCCAGCGCCTGAGTTCAGGTCGCAGCAACAACAACATATTATGTGTTTATAGCGCCTTTGACAACGGGAGGGCCTCCCAAGGCGCTGGACAGTCAACGATTTGCACCCGAGCTGGGGTTTGGGAGCAGAAGAGGTGGAGGGCAGGACGGTGGGGGTAGGAGGTTGACCGAAGGCACAGTCGAAGAGGAGGGCTGTAGAGGAAGAAAGGGAGGGGGCAAGGCGAAAGGATTGTGGATGGAGTTTCAAAAGACAGAGTTAAGTTTGCACATTGTGAGCTTCCTTGAGGGTTTAAGAGGTGGAAGCACCTTCTGGTCAGCACTGGACCATACACCACTCACTAGTTTCAAATCCTTGTCTGTGCTGAGTTAGCTGATTGAGTGAGTGTCCCTCGTGCTCTCCGTTCCACCATCGATGGCTGCGCTTTCTTTCAGCCACTATGCCCTAAAACTCTGGGACACTCTTCCTCTATCCCTCCACCTTGCGCTTTCCTTCCCCATCTTCAAGTCTCACTTGAAGATCTTCCTCTTCAACCTATGGTCACCTCCGCCTGGCTCGGTAACGTGCTCCACCACTGTCAAGCGCTCTTGAATGCTACGCTGCGTGGGGGGTGCTATATAAATGCAAGCAGTTGTTGTTGTCGAACACTCTTCTCTCAGGTATGATGCATTTTATTAGAGTTTACCATAATACGCAGGCTTGAGGTAACTGCTAATGAGGATCTGCTCCTCCCCCCCCCCCCCCACCCACTGCCTCCCCTCACCACTTACCCCCATGAAAACTTCTGGCATTAAGACAGTAGCACTATTGTTGTTAGTGTACCTCAGGGGTTTTCAGCTAATTCTGACCCCAATTCCAGATAATCCTGACTGACTCCTAACTCACATCTGTCTGTGGTCTCTAATCATTCTTGTCATATTTGATGGTTTCATTTTGTATTGAAAATTGGATTTTTTTCTCTCTCCCCGCACACTCCAATCCTGAAGGCATTTTGACACTCCCCCCACTCCTCATCCACTGTGGGGGGTGGAAGTGGGGATAGGGGTGGGGTAGTGTGCACAGGTGCTGGTCCCAATCTGTTACCTTGCCAAATTGGGTATTGTTCAAATGTGAAGAGTGAGACTACGTATTCTCAGCCCAGTACTGAACTGAAGCACATTTGCCGACAAATACACAGTCACTAAACATTACAGTAAAATTTTCTGAAGCATTTTGAGACTTCCTCCTGACTTGAAATTAAATGCAAGGATTATTATTGTTTGATGTTTTGCGTCAAAAAAGTGAAAGTTGAATTTTCAACAGGCCGCACTCAGAAGCACAGTGTAAACAGATCACTAGCAATCTCCATCATTGAAATGATCAGTTGGGTTCAATTAATTGAAGCTCCATTTGAGCACATTGTGTGTCAGAATTTAACCCTTTTTGATTGCTGTAGATCAGAAAGTATGGATGTATGCTCTGTCTATATCACTTGTGTAAAGTTGCTGCCACAATAACAGTTACAAAGTGCATTTTGCGAAAGATACAGAGCCGGAGATCCTTGCGGTAAAAGCTGCTTTATTGGCAAAAAAAAACCCAGCTGGTTTCATAGCAAGTTTTTAAAAAAAGATGAAAATCTAGAGAGTAACAGAAGCCAGGTCAATGTATGATGCCATTTTAGTGTCTGAACCAGGATGTGAGAGCTACAAACCAGTGGAGTTGGCTCAACATTTTAACGGTGGGTACATAGCTTTTCTAGGGATAAATTCTGCTTTTCACTTGACTGTATAGATGTTGCCACATTCTGTGAAAGTGATGGAGGTTAACAATTTCAAAGAATGCAGCATCATTTGAACAATCAATTAAAATTTAACCTTTATCCCTAGAACAATATGAACTAAGCCTTAAAATGTTTTGGCCTGGTCTTTGTTTGGACACAAAGGCCCTTCAGGGATTCACCCACTCCCTTTTATAATGCGGCCTTTTACTCCAGTTATCCTCCAAGTGTTAAAATAATTATCCTTGTATTTGCTATAGCTTCTTATCATGTCATTGAGGGATCTCAAGAATATTTTGTAAAGTGGATTGACTGTATATTTTATGGCTAATACGAAGGATAATACTTGGAATATTAGCAGGAATGAGGGAGCAATACAATAATAACCTGCCTGGTTATCTTGCCTTCTGCAGGTGAATAAGCTGGAACGGGAAAAGGTACAGGAAGTCAAGCAAGTGCGGGAGCTGGAGCAGCACAAGCATACGGTGCTCATCACAGAGCTTAAAGCCAAACTCCACGAGGAAAAAATGAAAGAGCTGCAAGCCGTGCGTGAGAACTTGCTGAAACAACATGAACAAGAACTGGCCCGAGCCATGAAAATCAAGGACTGCGAGATCCAGCGGCTCCAGTCCACGGTAAACGTACTGAGGGACGGAGCGGCTGATAAAATCAAGACAGCCTTACTCAACGAAGCCAGGGAAGAGGCTCGGAGAGGGTTTGACGTTGAACGCACCAAGATGCAGCAGGAAATAATGGAACTGAAATCTGTGAAGAAGCAGTTCGAGGAGTCCCTGAGCAACATTGTCCAGGCCGACAAGAAGAAAGCCGCTGACCTGAGGAGTGCGTATCAGTCCCATCAAGACGAGATTAGCAGAATAAAGAGAGAGTGTGAGAGAGATATTCGCAGGCTGGTGAGTAAAAATAAATCTCAGCTCTGACACTGCATCAAAATTCACATTGCTGTTCAGTGACTGCTGGAGCTGGAATTTCTAATCAGACTTAAATGATTATTAACATGATGTTTCTTGAGAAGCCAATGACTTTTAGCACATTACAAAATGACAGGGTCATATTTTATAACCCATCTCACTGTCTGTCTTCTGGGGAATCAGTATTGCCCAAAGTTCCATTGGGTCATCAGTTGTGATTGGCAAGATGACCAATCTTGACGTTGAATCCCTGCTATCCAGGGAATACAGTTACTCTTTATACACATTATATATACAGCAGTAGGGAAATTAACATAACTTCAGGACCCAAAGCGATAGACTACAACCCCTTGTCCCCAAGAGATTAAAAACACAAATAATGAATTAAAAGAGAAGAGCACTATGTAGTCATTACCAAAATTTAAAGAGAATGATGTTCTGGTCAAATAATATCTCTGATATATTTAAATATTATTATGTCTTATTGGAATAGATAAATCAATTCATACATTGACTATATTATTCATAATACAGTTCACTTTTATATAAAGCCTTTCACATCGGGAGAATGTCCTAAATCTCTCTACTAAGCAGTAAACAGAATTGTGCGAAAGATCCAAATTATACAGAAGTGAAACAAGACACAGTATTGGTTTTATTGTTGCGTTCTTTTAAAATTCTGCACACTGCTCCACAGCATTCGGTAGTCCAGCAGGTCCAGTAGTGGATGTTCTTGTCAATCCTGTTTAAATAGGAATTTAGAAATGAAATTAGTTACGTATAGTTTTCACTGCTTTCTTCTATTAAAGAATTCCCAGTCACTCTACTACAACAACAACAACAAAATTATATTTGTAGAGCGCCTTTCACGTTGGGAGGACGTCCCACAAGGCGCTGGGCAGTCAGAGTTTCGGAACCGAGTTGGGGGTTGGGACCGGGAAGGGTGGAGGGTAGGGGGGGAAGCAGGGAGATCGAAACCACGGTCAAAGAGGAGGGTCTTGAGATGGGTCTTGAAGGAGGTAAGGGAGGGGGCGAGGTGGAGGGACTGCGGGATGGAGTTCCAGAGGGTGGGGGCAGAGTGGCACAAGGCCCGACCGCCAATAGTGGGGCGAGCGAAGGGGGGAACGTGAAGCAGGCTGGAGCCCGCTGAGTGGAAGGAACAGGCAGGATGTTAGAGGGTTAGTAGGTCGCAGAGGTAGAGGGGAGCAAGACCACGGAGGACTTTGAAGGTGAGGACCAGGATCTTGAACTGTATCCTCTATGTGATGGGAAGCCAGTGGAGTCTAAGTCTGGTTTACTTTTGTTTCTAGTACATTTAATAAAGGGTGAGCAAACTCTTTCAGGAAATTCCTCTTTACACACAGTACTATTCAGATACTAATGACCCGATAAATTGGTCATTCACTATGCCTACTGTGTTTGCCTACAAATACACAGTCACTTTACTTGCCAGCAATACCTGTAAATCACTTTGAGACATTTTGATGTTATAGGTGCTATATCAAATGCAAGAATAATTATTATTAATAATGGATTAAAGAAGAAGGATCGCCCTGATCAACATCCAGCCAAAACATTTTTTTCAGTCCAGATGTTGACTGATGTTGACACAGCTGTCGTGTCAAACATTTTAACGTTTCATGTTTCAAAACTGCCCAATCTGAAATATCTGATCCGCTTGGTACGTGGAATATCTGTAATTTTAAACAAATGTAAAATCATTTCAAGGTCACACGCTCGTGCTTCAGTTAAAATAAACCCTTTCTTACTCCAATCTAATCAGCTAATTACCAAGATATGGTACCTCACTGGGGAGCCGCGAATGAGGGCAATCTCTCACCTCACATCAGGGAGTGACAACATTTGCATCGAAATTACTTCCCCTCTTCATTTCTGTTCGACTTCTGCTCTATGTGGGATTTGTGTAAAAGTGACTGATATTTGCTTTTGGACAGAGTGGAGACCGAGAGAACTTCATTTTCAGAAGGAGAATATAAGAGCAAACTATTCTGGTTCAGATTTAAACCACACCACATTTAAATCTGGTTCAAATTGTTTTGACAGGCAGCTCCCTCATCCCTGCCCTGCCGGTTTCCAGAATATATTTCTCGCTCCATTTTTTGTGACTGCATTAACTACAAAGAAGGTTTTGATTAACTGGGAGAATTTATAACTACAGCATTGGGTGGTAATAAAGAGAAGACTTGGGCCCATCTAAATTTTCTTCTACAGACCATATAGAAGTGTCAGCCTGACTCAGTTGGTAACACACTTGCCTCAGAAGTGGGAACTTGTGGGTTCAAGCCCCACATCGGGAATGTGAGCTTCCCAGTACAGGCTTATGTTCCAGGCAGACATTCCAGGGAAAATGCTGCAAGGTTGGTGATAGATAGTACACTCATCTCTGGGTCAAAAAGTTGATATGAAATAATTGTCCTGTATCATTCCTTCATTAAATTGGCAGAGTCAGAAACGAAGACAAGATAGCACAAGGTTGATTCTGTAATAATGAAAAGAGATTCATTTTCATTGAAATTGATGGGAGAATAATACATGAGCTAAGCAGGATTTAATTCACTTTTCCTGCTTTCAGGTCAGCCGTGAGGGTCAACAATCAAAGAGTGTGTTGAATATCAGATCTGTCTGTTCAAAGAAAAAAGCACAGCTTTACAAATTGGGGTCTATTTTATGCTGATCGCTCAAAATAGTAATTTTTTTCATTGCAATCTTCGTACAAAAAGATGACTAATTTTAGCATTCAGCATAAATATAGCCCTTTGTCAGCTGATGTACTTGGGAAGGGTGGGCAATTGTAAATCCTGCATTTCTATTAATACAGTAGATTTAAGTTTTTTAAAATCCTATTGAAATGAAATATTGAACTAGAACACAACACACTGTTGTTTGAAAAATACAAAGTACGTCATTAGTGCTGTTAACTATCTCAGCCAAGGTGGCAGCAAAGACAGTCTGTCTCTTTGCTAAGCCTTTATAACTAGAAATATAAATTTCCAATTGTCTCATTACTGTTCATGGACTCGGTGACCTCCACAGCCAAGCGGTGACCTCTGTCTCTTGACTCCCGCTGGCAAGTGACAGAGTAGCTACCAGTGTACTGGTTTGGGTTCACAACGATAAGGATCACAATTGCTACTCACTGTCTAAGGTCACACATGAGAAATCTTCACTTGGGCATTGTGAAGGATGGTGGTCATCAGAGGGTGTCCCAACATGAGGCAAGACCCTTCAGGAGATTATTATTTTATCATGCAAGATTATTTAAGAATGTAATCATGTGCACCAATTGAATTTGATCAAAGATATTAAATGATTTTCAAATGACTCATGTCATAAACAAGCTTGTTATTAAATACTTGTCAAATACCCAATCAAACAGTCAATTTGTTGCTGCAGGTCTTCACGTAAATACCTCCTTTAAAAAAGAACTAGATATACTTCTCCCTGCCAGGGGTATGAGACTATATAGGGATTTGGATGGTTTGTGATTAGCAAACAACAACTTGCATTTATATATCTATATAATCATTTATATAATTATAAATATAATTCGATCTCAAACGCAATTAATACACTAATGCCACAAATACCATGATAATAATTCATAGACAGAAAGGGGCTTTATGACTACCCATCATTACAATGTTATTACTTTTCCAGATGGTAGAGAAAATTTGAAATGTAAATAACTTTTTGATCTGTACAAATATATTACACCGCAGTTGTCTTAAATTCAGTATCTCACAGGCGTGTGATAAACTAAGAGCGAATCATGTCTGCCTTCTGGGTCATCAGGTCATGATTGACATCACTTCCTTCACAAAGCGATGCCAGATTTGAATAGTGAGCATGTGCAGCACACTTGAAGTGACCTGGAAGTCAGCTAGCAAGTTGTACTTCTATCTGCACTTCCAGGTAATGTTGGTCTTAGGACATTGAAAACACTTTAAGTAAAGCTGTGCTCAGTTGGGGGTGGGGAGGGGAACCTTAAAACTGGATTTCCAAGCATTTCCCAAAAATTAGGCATAATGCTTGTCCCTTTTTGAATTCAGTTGACCTCCTCACCTGCCCTAAAAAACCCAGTCTGTGTTCTTGACAGTACTTATTTGTGAAACGGTTTGAGTTGTTTCAACATAGTTCAACAGGCAGTAGAAAAATGCAAGTTCTTTCCTTCCTTCTTGGACACGATTTGTTAAGCAAGGGCTGCTACCAAGGCCCCATTTCTGCTCTCTACAATCCTGCAATGCATTTGTAACATATTATCTTTCAAGTGCCATCGTGTACAGAAGTGGAGTTTTTATCAGAGGGGAATCTGACTATTTTTAGCTTGTGCTAAAGTAAATGATTAAAATCAGAGAGTAGACACTGGTTTGTCTGGCTTCATCCCTGGGTCCCATCTGGAATATGGCAAAGCAAAGCACCAAAAGGAATATATTGGTCTAAATCCAGATGACTAATCTCATTCTCATGACTTTACTTGTATAGGTTGATGTCTAATTGTCCAATTTGTTAACACTACAGTGGGGCTCAATTTGTGATTTTCAAAATTCACTACCTCTGGTTCCCCAAGTCATCAATCCATTAAAAGGTCGGCGGTTAAAAATAACCATCTGTTTCAATCTTTGCAAAATTAACAGACAGCAATTCCCAAAGTGGCAAAGTGGAAATTTAACAAATAAACAGTCTAGACCTTAATTTAATCAACAACAACTTGCACTTGTATAGCAGCCTTTGTGAGGGGCAGAGTCCCGGAGCGCTGAAAGTCACCACCTGAATATGTGTAGAACATTCTTAGCTTTTCATTTTCTTTATTTTCTCTCGCTTCATGTAGGCAGTGTTTGTACCACAAATGTTTGTTTAGAAATGTGTTTGTTTAGGAAAAAAATCCTTGCATATAGCTGATGGGAGGACGAGAAGATGTCTCAAATTCTTCACAGGATTTACTGTAAAGTGTAGTGGCTGTA